GAAATAACGGATGAAATATGAAATATGAAACAAATAAAAAAAAACACATACAAAGCAGAACACAGCTAAATGTATCAAAAGTATGTCTATGTAATATTAGAATTTTCTGAGACAATGAATTTTTATTTATTTTTTCCCAGTAAGCGGTTTTTATTTAATAGAATTTTTGGACCAAAAATATCGCAATATATCGCCTTGTTTACAGTATCTAAATATATCGGGATTTATCGTATCGTGTCCCCTCTGTCATGATATGTATCATGTCGCCAAATTCTTRCCAATACACAGCCCTAATGTTTTAATAGATCAGCTGTTATAGTTGGTTCCAGTAATTTTAGACTTATTTCTTCCCCGTTGCGCTACAGTTCACTGTAGGGCTGCTCTTTGTTCTGTTCATTTTTGCCACATCGTTCTCAAGAATCATCATCATCACCTGAGGTGGCTTTTAATGAAAATGTTTGATTTCATGGCACTGTTTCCTAATTTAAAATAACTTAACCAGACTGACCTTTTTAACAGCTGTTAGACTTAGTATAAAACAGCATAAATCCAGAATCAGGACAGTTTTCTCACCAGTACTATCTGTAGAGAAAACGTCCAGCTTCATCATCCTGATACAAAACAGCTCATCAGATGCCGACATCTATCCATTCTCCGTTGCACTTATTATTATATTTTAGCACAACACACACAACATCCTCCCGTTTTAAAAATAGCCGAGGAAATGATTGATTGTGAGTTGCATCACCACACTGTTAAAGCCTTTTGTGTTGCTATAGGGATCAGAGTGTGTGACTGAGGACAACTCTGCTCATTGTGACTCAGAGAGCAGCCGTCCCTGTTTTGGGATGTGTGTGGGAAGACATGAGATGTGCTGTGTAATCTGTTCTCAGTGGTACGTTTCAGAAACGAGTGCACCAGAGTTGGTTGCAGAGGGAAAAAATCTTTAAAACATTTTGTTTTCTTAAATTATGGCAATAAATGTATGGCTCCTGTTAGCTCTTCATGGTCTGGTTGCTTTTTGCAAATGTAGTTTGCAGAACAGTGAAGCCTGGTCGGCCGTTTATTTGTTTTTAATGTAATTTAAATTCTAGTGGGTGCAGTCCTACTAATTAGATTATTCATTTATAATCAGGAAATGTAATAAAGTGCAGAAAAACTGGCTCACACAGACAGACAGTTAACCCCATTTCCTCTCTGTTAAAAAAATCAACCATCTTATGAAGCTACTGCTCGTTTTGTCATTACCCAGGGTGGTTTAAGACCCTAAAAACCCTCCAGATTTTCTTTGATCCATCTTGTGTTCTTAAAATCCTTTTCAATTACAGTGAGGGTAAACACTGATTTATGYGTATTACATGATGCAATGCATCTAAAAATAGATTTTACCCCCTCCCCCCATCCTTAGCCCCTAACAACGACATCACTTGAAGGGTCCGAGTGATGTCATGTAACAGTTGTTTCACCTTTGAAACGACCGGTTTGTTTATGCTGAAACCAGTTTGAGGCAGTGGAGTCGTTTGTCTCTGAGGTCATGTTTCACTCAGCGGGATGAATCAGTGGAGCAGCTTGAAGAACTGATTCTGCTGGAATTCACTCTGAGGTTACTGGTCTCATTAAGTCAGGGTGAAGATGCTAAGTGGGAGTTTACTTGATAACTACCATAAAACTTGTGCATAAAATCATCCTTACAGCTTAGTTTGCTGTGAGTTGTCTGTTAGAGACACTTCTCTTGACTTGACCTCACTTTAATGAGATTCTTTTACAGCAGTTGGAAAAAYGCTCAGCTCAGCACTCAGCTGGTTTTTATTTATTTATTTTTTGACTTTGTGGCGTCTGACGTCGTCGTACCAGGAATGTGAGCAGGGTGTTCCCTGTTGGCAGGTGTGGTCTGTACTTGTGAACTTTGGGCGAGTTGCTTACATAACCACTGCTGTCGTTTTCATCCACACCTGGATTGCCATCATCCCTGYGGAGTGTTACCTGCAGGACCGTGTTTAAACTGTTCCCTCGCACATAAACACACTGGAGTGTTGTTTTTAGCTCAGATTGAAGCAGCAGGTCACATCGGCTSAATTCATCCAGGTTTATGTAATATTTGATTAGAGCGTAATAATCCACAGAGGGGCGTTTAATCGATTTCTGGCTGATTATTTTTGCATTGTCAGGTAACAGGTTACATCACCCTAAAATCTGATCTAAAGGATGCAGAGTGTTTGTGTGGAGTWATGGAGGTGACTGCATCATTGTACCTGGCACCGCTGATAGAAATCAGGATTATTATTTAGTTTATCAAAGAATAAAGTACACCAAAAGAAGGAGATTGTGATTAAAATGACAAATGAAATGGCTTAAATCAGAGATTCYTAACCTGTGGGCCGCGAGCGCCACCTTGAGGGTCTCAAAAGAACAACAGTTTTTAACTTTGTGYGGCARAGGGCCGTGGGACCACATTGATTTTGAATAAGGTGCAATACACTTTCTCACCACTAGTAGCGGTAGTGCRCCACTCAGATRTTTAACAACTTTTTAATATGTAGATGAAGAACCTTAGAAACCTGCCGAGAGCGCTGTGTCCATAACGACAGGCCGGGTCCTCCGGAGGACCCAGACTACCCGGTTGAGGTGGGCCGGGTCCTTGGTAGACCGGGAAGACCGGGAAAAAAAGAGTCTGTGAATTTGGACGGTCTAGCCTCTCCTCCACCCCGGCGTACGTCATGTCACCTAGCAACTGTGACGACGCAAAAATAGATCAAAATTAGAAAAATATCAATATATATTGTATTAGCATTATTAATATCACAAAACTATAAAATTAACTTAAAGGTAACATTTGAAGAACTAATTGACCCGCTGTAGGT